GCTTCCAGCCAAGATACAGCTTTCAACTTTGGGGCTGGCTTATTCTAGCATAGCTTGTTCCTGATGATAGAACTGCAAGGTTGGTAGATGACTGGCCTGGAGCTGATTTCTGCTGAGTATTCCTCTGCTTCAGGCCCTACTCACTCACCACTTTGCTACTGTGTTCTTTGTCTTTTTCCTGAGGAAGCACTACCTGATCTGGTACAATCACAGAGTGGAGCACCAAAATACCTTCCTTGGCCTAAGAAAGAATACAGGTTAGGGACTTGCTGGCCATGGTCTTTCTTAGCAAGTAAAAACAGACAGAAACAATTTTTCAAGCCTTAGGCTGAGTACGGCAGCAGCCACTATGTCTAGAAAGTTAAATTCTCTATTCTTCAAAACAGAGAGGCCACTTCTGAGCTGCTGAAAGATGTGTCACTGTTCCACGCTGACACCTGAACTATACTTGAGCTCTGTCCAGGAGAATGCTTGCTGGCCTGGGCCAAAAAGTACCAATAACTTAACAGTATGGGCAATTGCCTGCTGAGGTTGAGGTTCCTGCCCTGGCTATGTTCAACTTACTATCATAAATACAGCTTCCCTGCCTAGAGGCACTCATAGCATAGGCTTGGCTTTCAAAACTCTTTTGGTTAATTAAGGCTCCTTGACATCTACTGTAGGGCATCATGCCTCTATACGAAGCTCAGTGTAGAAATCTAGTTCATTGCTGCTAAATGAACAGAAGAATCATCTGCCCAAACCTGCTCTAAAAGCTGCCTGGGTTCTCTACTGCTTATGGCCTCTGACCTTCATACCTTTTATGAGTGAAGAATGAGCACAGTACAGCAGAGTTGTGCCACACCTCACACACCACTCTGCCTCCTCTGCAAGTCCCCTGTACTAGATTGGCAGATGAAGCAGTCTGTAGCTCTTCTGGCTTTATGCTAAAAGGCAGCATTGTTTCCCCTGCTGGGTAATCAAATAGTGCCTAGGGCTGGAGAATAACACAGTATCTGGCATTTTTGCTCACCCTCAATTCCTCACAGCAAGTGTCTGTGAAATAATGGAAAGTATTATGGAGCAATTTAATTTCATGATTTGCTCATACTGATGGCAAAGCGTTCCCTAATTATATAATAAACATCTGTTCTGCTTGATTAAGTACCCTCAGAACAGAACTGTTGCAGAGAGTTGTCTTTCACTTGTTTAAACAATACAAACATCTTAATTTTATTTTTTTATAGTGGTCTCTGCAGTGTGTGCTGACCTTCATTTGACAGAACTAAAATGACAGCAAGGAAAATAAATTATTGAAATGAAAAGGTGGTTTGTAAAGCCTTGAAACTGTTCCTTGGGCTGAAGCACAATATCTTGCTAAGATTTAGAGGCTACCATGTAATCTTTTGGAAAATTCTTAAGCTCTTGAAAAGCTTAGGTGTGATTTGTACACTTCCCTGAGATCTATAACCATAGCTAAAATGGTAGCAAGTTTCTAGCTCTAAATGCCCCCAAAGGAGAAGGGGCCAATTCTTTGAATTTTAAGCTTTCTTCTTTCAAAGACTGAAGCCATGAGAGCAACTAAAAAACCCAAACCAAACAACAAAAACCACCCCACAAACCACAGGAGCTGTTTACAACATTGAAATGCATCCCACACTGCTAGATCAATTGACTGTAATGGTAGAAACCTTTTATAGAGAAGCCTGCAACAGCCCTGCTAGGACAAGTTACTGATGCAACAGGACTGGAGTATGTATTCTTTTAAGTGCTTCAACAGGAAAGCCCTAAGTGTCCTGAAAGCAAAGGACAATCAATAACTCATCAGACGTAATGTAAAATGGAACTAATGTTCAATCAATTAGGTACCATAACTATTCTATGAAAGTACCAATTAGAAATAAAAATATTTTAAGTAATTAAGTAACCTTTTAAAAGCACTCAAGGATGGGAACTATTCTGTTTTCACAAGTGGTATATTCTGACAAGAAACACTTGTCAATAGCTGCCAGAGATGCATGGCTTCAGATGTTAAACTGGGTTATTTCCACAAATAGCACCTCAGTATAAGAAGTCTGGTATATTGAGTTCACTTAGATACCTCAGTGAAAAAATTGTCATCTTCATTTAAGTACATATCTGGGGTTCCTGTTTTTCAAAGACCTGCATGCATGAGAAATACAAAGAAGATAGAAAGTAAGATCAGTTATTTTTGCTGGTTTGCTTTCCCCTTTTTGTTTTAAGGAAAAATCTCTCAGAATCTCTAGGGAATAAAAGATAGAATTTAACCACTTTATGTACTTTCTCTGTTGGGTAACGTGTGGTCAAATGCTGTATTAATTTATTATCACTTAAATGTGGGTTAACACAAAAACTTTTATTGCTTCAGTGTAACAAGAAAAAAAATATTGCCTTTATTGAAAGAGTAGGATCTGTGGGTGAAGTGCATAATTTACTGCAAAGTTATTACAGTTGGTTGAAAATATTCTCTCCAAATTAGTAGCAGAAAAATGAGTATTTTCAAAGTCTGGAGGTTTGGGGTTTTTATTTGGTTTTTCTAATATTGACTGTCTGTGGATAGCTTTGGTTTTATTTTATATCAAGAAAGCACAGTGATAAACCTGAATATTTTGCTTTTACATTAAAATGCTTTCATTTAATTGAGTCGCCATAAAGACCTAAAACAACTGTGGCATTTTTACCTTGTCTTCCTCTTTTCTTACTGAGAAAATTACTTACTGAAATTCAAATATTAGGAAAAAAAATATCCTCCCTGCCTTAGAAATATCAGTCACTGTCCTCTGGTGTGAGTACAGATAGTGACCTAGTCAAGCTAGTGTACTGAGCAGATCATGTGAACTGATCTAGAAGAAAAGACCTAGACTGCATCTGCTTAGGCCAGCCAAGTCCACCATGAATGGAACGTTTCTGTTCATTAAAAAATGCAAGATGATGTTTAAGTTCACAATTTACTACAGCTACTCTAACATTAATTGTGATTCTGTGTGCAAGACTTGTGGTAAATGCCTTATTTACAAAGTAGAGATTCTATAAGCATGGAAAAGACTGAGGGACACATCCCTATGCATTGCTAGAATTCTACAATGTTATTAAGCCATTGTGGGCAGCATCTCTCTCACAGAAAGGAAGAATGAGAATTGAACTCCAGTTTAGCAATTTTGGAGCACCTCAAAGACTTGGTTTTGAAAGGGAAGAACTGAGTCCTAGTCTGCAGTTGTGAGAGAGGAAATGGAAGAGCAGTAATAATCACTTCTGGATTTTGTCTTTCTGACTGAACACCTATCTTATACATGTGGAAGGAAATCCAAAGCAGACTGGGAGTGTCCTATGCCTTGAAATAACCAGCTGTTTAGAGGCCATTGCTGGGAGGTGAGTGATACGGCATGGCAATCGGGGCATCAGACTACAGTCTTCAACTTGTATGGTAATGCTTTACTAGATGTCAAGACATACTTTGTTTCCTGTCAACATATGTGTAGATCCTTCATAAGTTTTTCCTTCAGGTATTTGTTTTTCCTGATGGACTGCATAAGAAGCCTATATCCTATATTACAATGCTTGGATAGTGTTTGAAAATGCTTGCATTTTCTCAGCCAGAAAATGCATTTTTGTGTGTTATGAAGTAAAGAAGACTGAATAATTTCAATGATCTCAAAAGGTATTTAAAATCTTGTATTGAAGGCAGTGGAGGTGTTTTTTTCAGAGGGGGCTATCAAAATAGAAGCCTCCTTAGATGTGTTTACTACTGCATAGGAGAGGAGTTGTCAAATAGCCAGGGAGTTCTGATAGCAGTGATTTAGTTTTGGAAAGCATCAGAAGTCTTATTTCAATTTATCTTTTTTCCCTGGGCTTGAAGAAATGTTGTTGCCCAGTGAACCTTCCTTCCTGAAGCTATCTTTTCTGAAAGACTGCTTATCCCAGAATGTAGATTTGGATTACATTTTTTTAAAAGGGGCAATGTGTGGCATATGGTTACTGTTCCATATATAGAATATTACCCTCAGCAGTGTTAATATTCCAGCTGCAGAGATCACTCATGTATATGCATAGTCCTCCAGGAACAGAAAAGGTAGGATTATTGTGTGTGTCTGAAAGTCTTAATTAACAGATTTCAGCAGGATGAATGGTAGGTAAAGCTTATTACAAGCATCACTTTAGTAGCATATCTGTGAAAAGGCAGGTTATGCAGGAGGTGGACTGTATAATTACAATGGTCTGAAATGAAAAATGTTATCCAGTATTTATTAGGCAGAGATATATGACATGTATTTTTTTGAGCAAGATGAATACAGAGCTGCACTGGACTTCAGCCTGCCTGGAAGCAAAATTTGGACTTTCTTTTCTTCTTCTGATCCACTTGAATGAATGCAGTCAACAGCAGAAAATATGAGCTTTTTGAACAGGTGAAGTGCAGGAAGGCATTTAATTAAATTAAAGCTCAGAAAATGTTAAACCCATGAAAGAAAGACTTTTTGTAGGCTCCATGCAATTTGCTTTCATTGCTTCTCGGGTGAATTTCAGATATAGCCTATGATCAAGTGTACCAGACTGATAAACAGACATATTTGTTGTTTGTTTCGCAGTCACCGCTAGCTGCAGTAACTCTCAAGTGCTTGTGAACTCCTTACTCGAAGATTACCTTGTCAAACTTGCCAAATTCCTACAATCTGTATCACTGAAATTGAGCATGGCAAGTCTGTTGCAGCCATTATTGTGGAGGTATGTGGGAGGTCTGTGACACTACTCTGCTCCATTCCTTTTGATTGCAAGCTGTATAAGTGTCATCCCTTCCAATCAGAAGAGCAGGATTAGCAGTCGATATCACTAGTTGTGATTTATTGCCAGGCAGGGTAAACCTGGCTGTCAGATGGGCCATTGGAAGGACAAATAGAATTCACCTTTTGGCTACCAAAGGTTGTCAGTGAAAAAGGGCCAGTTGTGTGCTGAAGGCTGTTATCTCACTGCTGACAAGAATAATGCTATTCAAGATCCTTTTTTTTAGCAGATGATGTGCCCATGGTGATAGGAAGCCCGCAGCTCTGTGGCCATGCTGGGTGTTTCATTGTCTTTTTCTCACTATGGAACTCTTGAACTGGAGGCCTGAATTCTCTCCTATTTTCTGGTAGTTACTGATTTTTCTTTCTCTTATCTTTCTCCTTTACCCAATGATCAGAAGTGGGATTTTGGAAGGAAGGTCCTGCCAAGAACCTTTCAAAAAGGCCAATTCCAGAGGCAGGAGCTCTTCCCCAGTATATTTCTTGCTCACTGGTCACTTTCATCATTAGATTCCTTCTTCAGAGCTATGTGCAGACAGCCAAGGGTGTAGGAATTTGACATTAGGGTAAGACAGTGTATGTGGGTGGACCCTGCCCACAGATCACCAAGTGATATATATTTATAGATTCAGTGTGGTTCAAGGTGCATATGGGTGTGTTCTGTTATATGATTCAAGGTTTTCCACTTTAAGGTTGCACTTGAAGTTTTCCCTGCCTGCGTTCCAGCTCTACCTCCTTTTGGACAGTGCAGACTCCCATGGAACTGTCCTGAAGAGCACTGGCAGGGATGCTGCAATAAAATTTGCTTCGGAGTACACAGCTTAAGTATCTTTCACCCTGTATTTTGTACCTGACTGTATAATGGAATTCAGCTTTTTAGTGAACTGTTTCTTACCTTTTAAACATTTTGTCTGTTCTTTCTCTGGTGTGTAATTTGAAATCCCTACTTAGTGATGTGCTGTTTGCTGCTTTTTCTTATTTTAATGATATGGTATTCTACATGTGCACAGTTGATTGCTACATTTATCCAGGCTTCAGTTTTGGAGTGGCTTGTAGGTGCACCCTGGAGTTCCAAGTATCATGTATGTATGAAAGCATTAGGTCAAGGCAAATTGTTTTGAAATAGTATAAAAATAATGATCCTGAAAACAATACTTCAGTGGATTTATCTGTGCATGTGACAACTGTGCTAAAATAATCTAAGAGTGCTCCTTTGAGTGAAGTTACTGCTCTCAATACTACTGACAAACAAAGCAATTTCTTTCTTTAGTAGCACATACCCCTGGTTTATTGTGTCTCATTCTTGGAAGCAGGAATGGGTTTTGAGGGCATGACACCTCAATGAGATCCTGCAGTGCATATGACACAGTGACAAATGGCTACATTGCAGCATAGAATATGACAGGGACCGTGGCACTATTGCATGGCTAACACTGCTTAAAAATAAAACAAAATACAAAAACTTTCACTTGAAACAAACAGTAGTATAGTCTTTAGAGAGAGACATAGAAATATTCAGGGGGGCTCTTAATTCTTACAACTCATATGAAACCCTTTTCACACCACCCTACTTCTTCCCACCCCAAGAACAAATCTAATTTTCTACATAAAACATACTTCTTTATATCGGTACAGTTGATTTTTGGGTCACATATTATAAATGTAATGAAGAGAAGCATTGCTGATGAAATTGGAAAACAAGAGTCTATGCTGACATTTGTGGAACATCACTGCCAATAGGCATATGTAAAGATTTACTGTTTATAGCAGTGGTAAGCTATGATGCTGTGTCTCTGACTCATGGGAACTATATATTGTGTTCTTTAACGCTCATTAGTGTTGTAGGAGGCTCAGATTTTAAAGGGTTTGCCTAGGTAGGTTGTCAGTTGGTGATGAACGTAATTGGTGCAGTGAATCTTTCTGACAGTTCACAATCATCATTATTTTCAGAATATCAACAGAAAAGCTGTAATACATGCTTTGTAGTATTTAGCTGGTGGTTTGTGCAGTGGTGGGCTTTGTTTTGCAGCCATATCTACCACACCAAAGCAATTTTCTATTCTCTCACCTTCTGTGGCATTCTCCATCTAAAATCTGTTCATATTACGTACTGCCAAAGCTATGGGATTCACTAAAATTGCATGGATTTAGCTAAATCTATGATTTGGCGACATTTTAAATTATGAACTTCATAGCTGCAGTGTCTCACTATAGAAATCGAAAGTTTAATTACACAAAAGCAATGCTAATTAGGGAGGATAATACTAGGGCAATAGATTAAATAAATACAACATGGAAAAATAATTCTGTGTGCTGACTACTACCAAATACTCATGGAGTTTTCCATTTTCCCTTGGTGATGTGTGATAGGATGCACCTCTTGCCTTCAGAGCCATGGCTCTGCATTTACTTGTGCCCAAGCAGCCAGAGCACTTCTCAGCATCCATGGTGGTTCTCCCTTGTGCTTTTACACTGGGGCATGAGCTCATCTTGCTGAAGAAGAGGTAGTTGACGCAGGTTTCTCCTGCAGGCAGCAGCACAGCTCCTGTGCCAGCTTGTCCAGGTATGGTCGTCAGGAGGCTATGGTCATCAGGAGGTTCATCAGAGCTTCAAGATATGGGTGGAAAAGTCTCTGCCCACCACTGCAGAGTTGTTTAAAAAGAACTCAGACATGTGACATGTTGCTCTTACTGCACTGATTTTATTTCCCATCTGGAAATAACATATAAGATTATAATTTGTTTATGTGAACTAGAAAAGAAAAACAGTTTCTTGCTTTCACTTAACTGTGAAAATGTCTGAATTTATTTTTAGACAAATGAAGACTCCTCAGTTGTGGAACTCCAGCAAAGATAGAGGGCACAGTTCTAGGTTAGCTGAACTCTGAGAACTCACCCTCTGTGCTATCCCCCTGGTTTCATCAGTCTCAGCACCCTGTGATATATCCACTTATCCTGGATGCATGAACATCCTGCAAACCAGCAATGGCTGCTCAGCAAGCAAAATCTGTTCTTTAGGAATTATGGCCACCTTATGAATACAGTGACCCAGAACAGCCTATTCAAAACAAAACTGCCATACTTTCAAAACGGCAAGAACAAAACATGACAAAAAGAGGATGCATTGTCATGGGGAAAAAAAATTATCACCCTCCAACCCTCAACAGATGTGCTCTTATGCAAAAGTAAAATAGGCCACAGAGAAAATGCCAGACTGTGAAAAAGCTGGATATATAAAATATATAAAATACAAAATATTATGGACAGTTTGCAGACCCATCAATAATTTCATCAATTCTAGTCTGCTGGATTTTACATTGATTCACAGGCTTGGCGTACAATTTTTAGGTCTCAATACAGCATGCCATTAAAGCGATAACAGTGCACATTGCTGACTTGAAAGATATTTCAGTAGGGATAGCAGGTACCTGAGAGAACATTCTTAGATTGTATAATTTCTTGTGGTTTTAATGCATTTGAGTTCTGCTGATTTACATCTGCTGAGAATCTAGTCTATGGGAATTCCTCAATGATTAGTGCTATCACTCTGATACCTGCCAAAATGTCAGTGGGAAAATGGACCATGAAAATATCACTCCTTGATAGAAATGAATATAATTTTAAGATCACTCATTTGTGTGAGCCAGATTCTGTTCTCATTGTAATAGAAATTTTAAATATCTGTTTCGACACCAGGATAAATGGCTGAGCATTAACTACTGCAAATGAATGCAGAACTATAAAATTTCAGTGTAATAATTTCTTAATTTACCGTTAGTATAGAACCAATCTTCTATTGAAGAAGACTGTGTTGGCTATTGGGTGCTATATATTTGATGGGTAGAAGTAAAATCTGTATTCCCGAGAATGCTGCCTTATGATGATTTTTATCATCATTTAAAATACCTCACAAAGGGCAGTCATTCTTTATTGTCTTTATTTTATAGCCAAAGAATGGGATATTTAGAAAGGTAAAGAGACTTTTTCAAGAAAGTCAGTGATGGGGCATAAAATATTGTTAAAATGACAATGATATTTTATTATAAATGTAATTTTATAAAATGACAAAATTCCATTTCCTTCATGGAGGCCAAAATTTTCTTTGGAGTCTTAGATATGTAACCCACATGTCTTGTTCAGCACCTTAATCACAAAGAAATGTGTTCTTAATTTTTTGCTTTGCATGGAGCACACCTTTTATTAATAATCTCATAACATCCCTGAGACTGCAACCAATAATTTAATTAAAAATCAGGGTTAGAATTTGAGTTATCTGTTCTCTGTAAGAATAGAACATGTACAGACCACGTAATCTCAGGTCTTCATAATCAACCACTGGTTTGCGGACAGCTGTTTGAGAGAGGCATGCTCAAGTTTACTACTTTGCAGTAGCTTAGTAACACATTTTAGGTATCCTTAAATAACATGTTTTAGGTATCCTTAAGGAGTCCTAAGCAGTTCTTGGCCTTTGTTCATATTCCCCCCTCCCTCTTAAAGTGGCTGTTGATTGTGCCACATGGATCATTTCTTTGTACACACTAACCTGTAAGCACCCATAGTCGCATAAGGATGTGCAAATATGGAGCTGTAGACAGTCCTAAACTCCAGTGACTATGCAAGATGAGACCTGGAAATGGTAAGAAAGTATGATCAGCACGACTGACAATGAATGCAATGTACTATGGCCAATCCCTGTAAAATCTTCACAGAATGAGGCAGGATTTCATGGAAAACAGTGGGGAAACTTTGGAGGCATACATTTGAAGGACTTTCCACCAGCACTGTAGACAGCACAAGAGGTAATGCAAATGTGACTAGCTAAAGATCGCAAAAGCTTGCTTGGAAATTATTGTTAGCTGCTTGTTGTTTCAGTGGTTTTGAATAGTTCTTCAATTTTGTGAACAGTGTTAGCTTACTTACTGCAGATTGATTATGTCTTACAACGTGCCTTTCTTATCTGAGTCATTTTGACTTTCTGAACAGTTCCAGTGGCATCCAAAATAGTGTCTGTTCAGGAGGGTTTTATTCTGGGTATCTCACTGTGATAGTGGTGAGACACTGGAACAGGTTGCCCAAAGAAGTGGTAAATGCCCCATCACTGGCAGTGTTCAAGGCCAGCTTGGACAGAGTGTGAGGTGTCCCTGCCCATCGCAGGGGGGTTGGAGCTAGATGGTCTTAAGGTTCTTTCTAACCCAAACCATTCCATGATTCTATGATCTCAGTCTGGAGTTTCACCATTGTAAGTTTTTTTTCCTTAGTAGAATTGTCAATGAAGAGGCCTCAGTTAGACAAAGAACCAAACCGAACCAACCAAACAAAAAAGATACACTTCTGGAACTGATCCTCTG